TGAGGTAACCGTGCTGGGGCTCAGTGGCAGGGCCCGTGTGGACGACACGTGCTCTGTGGCTGTGCATGTGTGCGCACACGCGTGTTATGTGGGTGTGTGTCCGTCTCCAGGTGTGAGTCTGTGCCTCTGTGTGGGGCGTGTGTGTGTTGGGATGAGGAACCAGGGCTCTCCACCACTTCACTGTGGAGTATGTGTGGGGTGCGGCCGGCTGACAGATCCTTTCCGGAGGAGTGGCTAGGTGGCCTCCTGTCCCTTGGAGAAGCCAAATGGAAAAGAAAAGAGGGTGGGAGATGAAAAAGAGAAAGGAACCAGCAAGTGTGTTTGGGGGGGAGGCTGTGGAATTTCCTTAGAAAGCTTGCAAATAGGCCCTCCCTGGTGGCACAGCCCTGAGAAGCTAAAGCCACTTCCGCATGAGTTCCGTCCCTGCCTGCCCCAGAGGTGACAGACCTCTCCTGACCCGTCTGCTGCTCCCCACAGCAGTGTGCTGTGACAGTCTTCCTGTTCTGCTCCCCACTCTGTCTCTGGTGAATCCTCGCACTGCCCCTGCACCTCCGGCCTGTACCCCAGCTCTGCATGCAAATAAATAAATCTTTAAAAAAAAGAAAGTAAGCTTGCAGATAACTGGCTAGCGGTCTTTGTTGCTTGGGTTTGGTTTTGACTCTCTGGGCCTGTTCGCCTGCTCTTTTCAGAATTACGTACGTGTTTATGTGACGGTTTGATCCGACAGCAGTGCTCTAGTGGCCGGTCCTGAAGTTTCAGAAAAGAGGATGTGTGTGGGCCCTCCCTGGTGGCGCAGCAGGTTAAGGCGCAGCGCTGTGAAGCTGGCCACAGCCCCTGCAGCAGGAGCTCGGTCCCCGGCCAGGGAGTGACCCACAGGGCCCAGCGGCCCGCTCCCGTTCCCCTCTGCAGTGGATTTCAGTAGATCTGTCTATTCTGCTCCCCACTGTCTCTGGTGAATCCCCTCACCGCCCCTGCACCTCTGGCCTGTACCCCAGTTCTGTGTGCATAAATAAATAAATCTTAAAAAAAAAAAAGGGAAGAAGAAGGGATGTGCCCCTCTAGGAGGAAGAAAATGGCCTGCCCACAAACCGGGAGCCCAGCCCCTTACTTTCCAGAACAATCTCTGAATCACTTCCTTCCTCCCCTCCTTCTTCCAGAGGTCCGGGGGGGGGGGGGGG